TCCATATCAAAAAAATTCCTCGTGAAATCAGTTGACGCAATTCCTGGGCGGGTCGAGAATCTAGACAGCGAAATCTGGCGCCCATATCGAATTTTCAACAAAAAATTGTGCTAAACACTTTCCTCTCATATCCATTTCTTATAAAAATTATATTTAGTAAATAAATTATGAGTATTTAAAATTTGAGTTACTTATCAATGACCCTACACACACACACACACACACACACACACACATATATATATATATATGTACGAATTATATTTAGTATATAAATTATGAGTATTTAAAATTTGAGTTACTTATCAATAACCCACACACACACACACACACACACACACACACACACACACACACACACATATATATATATATATATGTGTGTGTGTGTGTGTGTGTGTGTGTCTGTGTGTGTATGTATGTGCGTGTGTGTGCGTATTGCTCTTTCCCCAAGCCAACATATGGCTATAAAAATGTTAAAAATTAAAAGAAAACGGCTAAATTCATAACCTCCTGTTATTTAAACTATATCAGACATAAATTAATTCCAAACGAAAATAATTTAAATATTGCATAAAAATTAACAACATGACTTACCTAAATTACTTTATAAGAGATTAAATTACGTCACTTAGCATCTTCCATAATTTACCTAGACTTTTCAGTCAGTTAACCTTATGTGCATCTCTTAAATTAAAAAAAAAAAGATTCATAAACACTTCTTTCAATATAACATCCTCACATTTATCTTGATAAAGACTTTTAAAGGACGAAACGCGTCGTCTAACATAAGTTTCCTTTTGTCTTTATTCGTATCATCCTTTGACATATATTTTAGTAATCTATATACAAAATTCTGTGACTTCTGTTAGTTCGTCCGTCACTCCCTCTAAAATAGCCATACATTAACTAATAGCAAACAAATTTCGAGAAGTGCATGCAGGTAAGTGAGTACAGAGTACAGAGTACAGCTGGTTTTACTTGGGTGTATACATTTGTAAAGGTTGTTCCAATAACTTAGACTAATTTTCAATGTGAATTAAATTTAAGCGTATAATGATTTTCTTTTCTTTCAGATTTGGCGGACATTGGGACGATATTATTTTTCAAGCATAATTGCCATGACTTAAATAATATGATCCAATAGAGAAATAAATACATTTTCACTTCTAACACTGATTTAGTTACCGCTGACTTTGATCCGTCTTAATAAAACACCCTTTAGAATAAATTTTCATTATTTTTTAAAAAAATTAAAAGTTTATTATTTGACACACATACACACTTGCTAAAAAGTGTGTATGTGTGTCTGCGTACCTCATCGGGTGCACGGACATGCATCTATATTTGCGTTAGTATGAGGGATATCACGACGACGATTCACCCACTCCCATAATAACACCAATACACGCAATATATATAAACCCAACATTTTAAAAAAATTAATCAGTTTGTCTGACGATGGCAAAAGCGTTAAACCCAGGGTCACAAACTCACATCAATCCAACCAAATATGTTAGCTCTATATCTGATATTGAGCCCTTTCTAATAAGTACCGCGCATATAATATAATTTTATATATATTAATTATATATATATATATATATATATATATATATATATATATATATATATATACACTTTTCACACACACATACACATATACATATATATATTTGCTCGTGAAAATTATTTCCGTTGAGCTTTCTCGGGACAAAGTTTTAGTTTGTAGGCAGTGACTATTACTGTTACTAATGCAATACTCTTCGATAAAACGAATCGAGTTCTCTCAGACATTGGCGGGTTTATCTAAAAATAAATACGCTTAAATTCACCTTCATCCCTGCCGTGCAAAATTCAGCCGGGTTTCAATCCTAACTAGAGGCAACCGGCTGTCTAGCCACACTAATGTGCTGTGATGGTGCGAAACAGTCTGTCTGTGGATGAATATATATATATATATATTTTTGAGGAGACCCATATCTATCCCCTCATCGGTAGCGACTGCGTATTCTATGCAAGATATATCGATGATATATTCTTTGTATACACGGGTAGTGATGACAAACTTACCCAATTCCCTCTGACCCTAAACACAGTGCACGACTCAAATAAGTTTGACTATGAAAACTCCACAACATCAGTAACATTTTTAGACACCCGCATTTACATAGATGAAAACAGAAAACTACAAACGACACTACACACTAAAATCACCGACACCCACAACTATCTACACTTTAAGTCTTCCCACCCTAAACACCTCAAAGAGAACCTTCCCTATTCACAAGCACTTAGACTCAGAAGGATATGTTCCAACAATGAAGAATTAAATAAACACATTGAAAATCTGGAACATCAATTCACAACATGGGGCTATAAACAACACCTAATCAGGGAACAAATATATAAAGCAATTTCCACCCCTAGAGAAGACACCCTAATGTACAAGATTAAAAATAAATCCAGCCACATTCCTCTAGTAACGACTTTCAACCCCACTATGCCTCCACTATCCCAAATAATCAAAAGTCGCTGGGAAATACTACATCTCAAACCAGACCTAAAAAAATTGTTTAAGGAACTCGGCCTTCTAGCATATCATAGACCTAAGAATCTAAAAGAAATCATAGGTAGTAACCACATTTCAGGGGACAAGGTAATCAGTAATAAACTAACAACAAAAACAACAGGATTTCCCCAACCATGTAACAACAAAACAAGTTTATGCTGCAACCACATTAGACACACGAATTCATTCACTAGCTCAGTCACTAAATCTACTTTCAAAATCTACCACGATGCTAATTGTAGAAGTTATAACATAATTTACCTCCTAGAATGCACACTATGCCAGAAACAATATATAGGAAAATCTGAATGGCCCTTTTACTACAGAATTAATAATTATCACAATCGAATTAAGTTGACTCCCCATGAAAAATTATTACCTGTAGAACAACATTTCCTTTTTAGAAAACACGATATCAAAACCCATGCCAAATTCACAAAAATTGAGAGAATAGAAAAGTTCAGAGCAGATAACATTAGAAAGATTTTAGAGTTCCATGAAAATAAGTGGATACAACGTCTAAAAACAAAATACCCAACCGGGCTAAACCATAAATTTAACAATATAGATAGTATTGATATATAACCTTACAAATCAAAACACCTACCCACATTTCTCACCAACACAAGACAGACATGATTACGGAGGTGGTGAGGCCTCACATTTATACACACACCCACACGAATATACACACTTACACACATCATACTCACTCTCTCCCTAATGAGCCAAATGATAACACACACCTACAGTAATATACACGCCTACACATATCATATTCACTCATTCTCAAAGAACCAAATAACACACACACACGCACACACACACACACACACACACACACACACACACACACTTAACAGACACATCCCCTCTCCAGGAACCAATAAAACTGTCAAACTGACCAGGGGAATTCAGAGCAGCATGTATCCATCCAGCTCTTATCTCAAATAACAACTTAAAAGAGAGTGTTTGACCAACACAAGGAATGTTAAAAGATTCATGTTAAAAAGATAAAAAAATAAAAAAATAAATAAAAAAACAAATGAAAACTAATGACAAAAGTTCATTTTCTCCATCAAGACATTCATTTCTGTAGTTCACTGCTACCAGCAAGCAGAAATTTTTCTTCTCCTGATGATGGCCATGTTGGCCGAAACTAAGCGAGAAATCTAAATGAAATAATAATAATAAGGAAAGAATATTAATCTACAACCCAGTGTGTCTGAAGATTTTAATTTTTTAATATTTTTTTATTGTTCGAAAATATATATATATATATATATATATATATATATATATATATAGGAGGAATATATAAAGGAATGTATTTTAATTAAAAAAATTCTCATCTGCAGCGTTTACTGGACCATTTAAAATACTTTAAAGTACAGTTCGGGCGTCATCGAAGCTCCATCTTCACTTCTATTTTGCTGTTTTTATCTTGCGAAACGCACTTCTAATACGGCATCAAATAAAAACAAAATATCAGTTGCTGTGATATCAGGCGTCTTCATACGAAAATCGATTCGTTAATTTTTTAACCAAAAACTCTCTGGTGACACGTGAGTGGTGTGCAGGTGTACCATACTACTGAAAATCCGTCGTTTGCTAAGCCCTCCTCCAGAATGGAAGTGGGACGGAGAACAAACGCTCCAACATGCTTAAGTAATATTCAACTGTAATGTATTCATCAATGAGAAGAGGTTATTAATTGTTTGATTTATTGATAAAAAAGAAAGGGTCTTTATATCAAATTTTGCTTCTATCTATCTATTTTTGATTTCAAATATGGGCATTATTTATTTACATCCTGTACAACTATCTATCGATCTATTTTCTATTTTGATTGAAAATATGGCAGTTATTTATTCACATCCTCTACATCTATCTATCTATCTATCTATCTATCTAATTTTTTATTTTAAATATCGCCGTTAATTATTTACATCCTGTATATCTATATACATATTTTTGTTTTCAAATATGGTAATTATTTATTTCCATTCTGTACATTATTCTATCTATCTATCTATCTGTACATTTTCTATTTCTGATTTCAAACATGGCCGTTATTTATTTAAATCATATCTATCTATCTATCTATCTATCTATCATCTAATTTTTTATTTTAAATATCGCCGTTAATTATTTACATCCTGTATATCTATATACCTATTTTTGTTTTCAAATATGGTAATTATTTATTTCCATTCTGTACATTATTCTATCTATCTATCTATCTATCTATCTATCTATCTATCTATCTATCTATCTATCTATCTGTAAATTTTCTATTTCTGATTTCAAACATGGCCGTTATTTATTTAAATCCAGTCTATCTATCTATCTATCTAATTTTTTATTTTAAATATCGCCGTTAATTATTTACATCCTGTATACTATATACCTATTTTTGTTTTCAAATATGGTAATTATTTATTTCCATTCTGTACATCTATCTATCTATCTATCTATCTATCTATCTATCTATTTTGATTTCAAATATGGCCGTCATTTATTTACATACTGTACACCTATCTATCTATTTTCTATTTTGATTTAAAATATGGCAGTTATTTATTTACATCCTCTACATCAATCTATCTATCTATCTATCTATCTATCTATCTATCTATCTATCTGTAAATTTTCTATTTCTGATTTTAAACATGGCCCTTATTTATTTAAATTCTATCTATCTATCTATCTATCTATCTATCTATCTATCTATCTATCTAAGATTAGTAGTCCAGGAATGCGGGCTAGTAGAAAGTATATGTACAAGTCTCTGTAAGTAAAGCCGTAATCATCTCTCTCTCTCTGAATTCTTGTATAACTCTCTGAGAACACCCTGTGTCTGTCTCCGTATCTCTCAACCTGTCTCAACGTATCTCCACGTATCTCAACGTATCTCAACAGCAGATATTCTCTCTATCAGTATAAGTATACTTTGGACGAGTCCATCTTATGTAAAAAGGGGGGAGCCCCACAACACATACAATCTCCTATATGACAGTAAATGCTGAACACTCTCTTCGCAGACGATGAAGAGACGTGAATAAAAGAGATGTTGTTTTATAAAACGAATCCTTATTTGCGTAACGTGGAAGCCTTAAGGAAAATAGGGACCAAGGAAATTGATAGGTAAAATCCTAAAGAGACAACTGAATTTTTATAATGAAGAAAGAGGGTTTGGAGAATTTAACACGCAGAGGATATACTGAATGTAAGTGGGACAGAGGAAAGCAGTGGGTAAATTAACGTTATTACGTGAATGAATGAGAGAACAAAGACAAATTGTAATCGGGAAGACGTCTAGTTATCGCTTATCCAGTACTAATGGATTTTTTTTCCTGTGATCTCTACTCTATGGTATTTAAACTTTATAAATTTAAGCGCAGTGCTAGATTGGCGGAAAGGTCTCATCATTTTACACTTGAAGTGACTAGATGTAACTGTAAGTTCTATGCTAACAGTTTCTTCTATCGCAGTTCTCGTTTGTAGAACTCTTTTTTCAGCTTCTTGCTTCCGAGTCAAATTTGATGTTTAAAAATCCAATGCAATGTCAATCGTTATTTTAGTAATTATTGTTCTTTTATCGTTATTTCTACTAATCGTATTTTTCTCATATTCTATAACACTCAGTAACCCCTTGCGTCTTTGTAGCTTTGTTGCCTTGCTTGGGGTGAAAAAAACAAAACAAAAACAACAAAAACAAAACAAAAACAACAAAAAAAAAAACAACAAAAAAAAACAACAAAAAAAAACACATTTATTTGAATTAATGTTGAAAGTTAATATCTTGATTATGTCATTATTTTCTCTTCGTGTTACATGTGCTATCCGTTTTATTTGTTACTGCTGTTGTCAGTCTTGAAGTTTGTTTTCGTTTGATTTTTTAACGGCATATCAACTCTTTATGGGTCATTTAATGCCGAAACTTATGCAAGGACATTGTCCAGATTTCAATGCCGTACAGGAGAAGGATATATATATATAATATAGCGGTCCAGCGCTGTTCTCTTCGCTTCTAACGAAGCTTTCTAATGAAGCTTTTCTTTGGTTCTAAATACTTTGCTTAGTTTCTGGAAGGCATCTTTCCTCGACTCCGATGCACCTTCGGATCGCTGTATCTGTTATCTATGTATGTGTCTCTTACTATACTACACGGTTTGATAATATTGTAATATTAAATGTAAGTAACATGGAAGTTATATATGCCGTCTAATAGAATAAATATGTCGCCACTTGCAGGCACGGAATGTTGTACAACAAATATTCTAATCCCCCCCACTAAAAAAAGAAGTCGATACTGCTTTCATAACCTATCCAAGAGAGTAAGTTTGACGCCAAATCAGAATGCACATGATTTAGTAGGAGAACCAGGAAGTGGCTAATTCCAACAACACTTGTCTTTTCAGGCGCCTTAAGCATCGGGAGTTGATCCTAACTCCACCCCTCTCAATGTTTATGAGAAATGGTAATAGTAATGATAATATCAGTTGTTTCCTTATAAGGAAACATTCGACATTCATTGACCGAGAAGCCAGTAATACTGCCGATTGAAATGTCTAAAAGATTTTCTTAAAACAAAAACATAGGCTTCTCGAGACCAGTAGCTGTTATAACTCTTTCCAGTAACGGTTGGGGTTTCTTTCCTATACCTTTATTTGAAGTAGTGTGGAATGTCAACACCTTGATTATGTCATTATTTTCTCTTCAACTTACAGGTGATAACCATTTTTTTTTCTGTTGCTACTGCGGAAAGTTCTCAAGTGATGAGATTTCTGTTATTTGGCACAGTTCTTTGTTTTGTGATTCCGTAGCGTCAGTTCACAGGGTTCGAGGAAGTGCAGTCATCGATAAAACCCACTGACTTCGCTCGAAGATACTTCCTGAGTAGTACCCTGTAAATGGACTGTGGTTAAATATCCGCTTCGGCGCTCCCAAAAAAACTCCGAGTAGCGATAAATAATTATTATTGCTATCAGGTATGATTTACGTGTTTTTTTTTTTTTTTGTTTGTTTTTTTTTGTGTGGGAGTGTATAAAATAAAATTAAATGTAAATGAATAAAAGATATATATATATATATATATATATATATATATATATATATAAATAATTGGGTTTCACGCTTTAGCGATCGTCAGCATGAAACCCAGGGTCACAAACTCACATCTATCCAACCAAATATGTTAGCTCTATCTCTGATATTGAGCGCTTTTTAATAAGTAGCGCGCATATAATATATAAATAATTATACATATATATATATTTATTTATATTTATATACTTTTTCACATATATATATATAAATATACATACATACAGATATATATATATATATATATATATATATATATATATATATACATACATATATATATATATATATATATATATATATATGAATTCTGTCATTACTGTGAACGGTAAAACCAGTAAGGAATCTTATGGAACGGTAGTACCTTTCAAATCAAACTACCAACAACAACAATAACAACAACAAAAAAAAGTAAATAAGCCACCCATTTAACCAGTTTTGTTTTTTTTTCTGTGGGAGTGTAAAAAATAAAATTAAATGTAAATGAATAAAGAGACAATGGGTATATATATATATATATATATATATATATATATATATATATATATATATATATATATATATATATATATATATATATATATATATATATATATATATATATATATATATATGAATTCTGTCATTACTGTGAACGGTAAAACCAGTAAGGAATCTTATGGAACGGTAGTACCTTTCAAATCAAACTACCAACAACAACAATAACAACAACAAAAAAAAGTAAATAAGCCACCCATTTAACCAGTCAGTCAATTGACCTCAAAACGCGCAACTGGAAAAATCACTTACCTTCACTATATATATGTATCCGATCACTCCCTTACTGTCGACTTTGTTCGTAGCTTTTGCTTTCGGTGTTTTTGTTATTTCGTCTATAACCCCAGGCCAGGTTTTGTAAGTGACCAACGTACAGAGGATGCGAAGCAGAAATTACTGCGGACGATACTGAGAGCTTACAAATAAATAAAAAGATAAAAAAGAAACACGAAAATGACTAATAATGAAAAATTAAGAGAGTTTGTTGTGTAAAAAGACAAATGGCGACGGTTGAACTGATTTCAATCTAGGTCAAATGTCAATGGATAAAGGCGAATCATGGTGCGTGCCATCTGTCGATTTAAGCGAAAGCATATTAACGGATTACTGGCGATTATACTTATCAAAATCCCTCCCCCAACCATATTCAGTAAAATGTGTCTACCGACCTGGCCAACTTCAGTTCGATGTAATTAATTATAGTTGAAAATAGATATATATTATTATTATTATTATTATTATTATTATTATTATTATTATTTACTCATTGGTTGTTCAGTAGTAACCGATGTCTTATTCTGGAAAATAAGTGCGAGCAATTTTTGTCTGCATTTTTGGGATTAGGAATGAGCAACGATGAGGTCTTAGAGAGGATGCAAACATGGAGGAGCTTATACTTAACATCAGAAAGAGGCAACTGAAGTTTCTCGGGCACATAATGAGTAAGAAGGGCCTGGAGAATCCGATACTCACGGGTCGAATAGAAGGAAAGAGAGACAAGAAAAAACAACGCATGATATACCTGGTGGGCTTAAGCAAGTGGATGAGAGAACGTGGTCTGGGGGAGGCGGCAGCGGGACGAGTTATGTTCGCCTACACCCTGAAGGAACACGGCACATAAAAAAAAAATCTCTCCGTACAATAATTGTTTTTATGTTCCTCGATTCGAACGAAATTTTTAAAAAAGATAATGTCTTCGACTGTTCGAAGGATTATCGGTAGACGTGTAGAGGACCGCGTGTCTTTGCGTGTTGTTGAATTGAAAACACGTGCGTTTAATTCCTGCTAGAAAGGTCCAACTAAAAGAAAATGGTCGGACTTGAAGTAAGTGCAACTGAAGATGTAAAGAAGACAAACAAAACCGATATATATATATATATATATATATATATATATATATATATAAACAAATATATGTATTAAACAAAACAATTTTACAACTGACAATAAAATTTGTGTGTGTGTGTGAACATTTGTGTCTGTTCTTTGGTCAATGTTCGTACGTACGTGTATGTGTGTATACTGTTCATAGCGTCTTCCACAAATGGGAAGATGCAGATTTTCTAAGAGAGCTTACATTGTAATCGCTGAAATGAAAAAATAAAAAAAAGAGAACTAGGCGAGAAGTCGCCCTGTATATATAGTATAGGGAGAATGACCCCTAGTGAAAATTTGTGAATTAAGGAGGAGCTAACTCCAACAGAGGCATTTCCATGTTAATAAAATTATAAATGAAAAAAAAAAAGAGTTTATTAAAGATTTTGTGCAAAAAGACTAGTTGAACACGTAATAGATGTTTTAGTAGTAACAGCTTGCATGATTTTTAAACTGTTTATATCGGACTCTTAGATACTGGGTATAATTTACAATGCAAGGGAAAATTCCAATGATTAAAATTTACTTACACGTTGATTTAAACAAATGGGACAGACGCTTACTAAAATGAAAAGGCTCGATTTCTGTTGCATCTCATATAACAGGAATTTGCTACAATCGTGCGCGCGAACACACACTCACACGCACACATTGAAAAAAAGAAAAAAAAAAGAATATTAAAACAAGACGAAAACAATCGTCAAGTGCTTCAATTCCAACTCCAAAGAAAAAAAAAAACGAGTAAAAGGACAAAACCGTAGGAGTGCTCAATACGCTAAGTAGAACAATAATCCTAAAGAGCCAGGAAACCTGCTTAGATTTGACCTAAACGGAACTTCAGGGTAAAGCCAACTTTACCCTGAAGATCCACTTAGTATTATTTTAGTATTTTATATATATATATATATATATATATATATATATATATATATATATATATATATAATGATATATATATATATAAAATTATCATTTTATATATATATATATATATATATATATATTTGACATGAAGGCACTCCAACGTGTGCTCAGGATCGCCTCGTCAGTGATGTTATTACTTGGGGTCATGACAAGTTTTGGGTCTTGTTCACCCAAGAGACCCTACCGAAACAGTACTATTGCGGCAAGCGATCCTGAAGCAAAAAAAATAAAAAAATAAATAAATACGCCAAGCACGCAACAAATGGACTCGTTAAATAAATGCCACTGCTGACCAATCGTTAACGACTTACGTCACTTCCTTCTCAGCCAAAGACGGTACAAAAAAAAAAAAAAAAAAAGAAAAGACAGCATGCTCGTTTTTTCTTCTTTTTTTCATCTTAGGTTGACGACGCTTAACGATCCATATTCTCAACGAACAGTTTGACATAGCAGGTAAGTAATGACAAGAAAAGCTTCCTTTAATATGAAGTGTTACTGTAACCCCCCTCCACACACACAAAAGAAATAAGAAAAACAAAATATCGAACACATTCGTTGGTCATAGGAATCATAAGAATATATATATATATATATATAAATTATAATTATATATACAACTAATAGAATACTGTTATATATATAAATAATAATTCTATATACATAAATCTTATATATATATATATATATATAAAACATTATTTTATTATTTGGCCATTGACGAGGTATCAATTTACAGTTGATTTGCTTTGTTGTAACCGTAAATCTTATGCTGACATTTTTCGTTCTCGCACTTCACGCTTGTGGAATTCGCTTCCGGCTCAATATTTTTAAGACAACTTTAAAAAATTTCAATGCAATATCAACCGCTATCTACTGTCCTTCTGATTACTCTTCTCTTGTTCCTTCTCCTTGTTTCTGCTTCTAACTCTTCCACATCCCTGTGTCTCAGTGGCTTTACTTAGGGCGAAATCGATACGACCCGCTGAACTTAAGCATATCGCTAAGCGGAGGAAAAAAACCCAACCGGGATTCCATTAGTAACGGCGATAAAATAACAACAAAAGAAAATAATTAAATAAAATTAAAAAAATAAAACAGTCTGTTTCACGCTGTACAATTTTAAAAATGAATCTTTTTGAAAATAGCACTGATTGTTAATGGTTATTTTATTAAAAGAAAATGTTTTCTTTATGTATATTAAAAAAAAAAAAGCTAGTTAGAGTTTAAGTATGAGTATGAGGGCAACATAGGATCTTGAATTTCGAGTTATAATTCTCCTGGAATGGTTGTCAACTACAGCTCGAGATCCCAGTTTGCTTTGCTATTTCACTCATTGTCGAGTAAAGACTAGATGGATTCATACCTTTCCCAAACTGACTGTTCCGATTTCGACTATAATTCGAGCTCGTTTTCTTCATTTCACGTTCCTAGCTGTTAACCATTACACTACCAAATGCGTGCAGTGCTAAGAAAAAAAACAACAAAAAACTGCAAGATAAATAAACAATTTTAAATGAATGGCTTATAGATAATGGGTAAGCTAGAATAAAATAATCGAAATAAATTAAGATTTGCTGATCGATGTTCATAACGCTTAGTTAAGAAATGACCGAAGCAATATCCGATTAATGGAAGATTTTTGCAGATATATTCAGCTTGTTCTTTTTTTTTTCTTTAATTTTTTTTCTTTCATTTAAGCGTTATTATTTATGACGTCATCAGTTTTCTTCGAATGCCAGCGATTTATAATATTTTTCTCATAATTCATTCGGCTCCTGCAATCTTGGCAAAACGTGTCGATAGATTTCTTTCAATGTCAATGACCTCCGGAAAATGAACAATTACAGCGCTCAAAATGGCAATAAATATAAAACCTCAAATAACTTGAAGAATAAAAAACAAAAAAACAAAAAAAACAAAAACATTATACGTCAATGATCATGTCGCCAGTTTATGATTTGCTTTAATTTTTCTGATTTGGTAATAAATAATTGTTTGGTATCGCCATTCAAGGTCGATAATTAATCAATGATGAGTTACAAGTTATTGATTATGGCTATTGATATACCTAGGAATTTGAATTTTTTCAGAGCAGCTAATTTATACAATGTAAAAAATATTTCTTTTGTGATGTCAACGAATACTCGTAAAGCTTGTTGCACTAGAGACTTTGTAATAGCAGACACAACTATAGTAACGCCATTGAATAATTTCGTATTGATAGTACTTGCTCAATAATACTCGCTCGAGTAGTAATGCGTATAGAGAAATAATATAGTGAATAGGGTAGTGAATAGCGGTCCTTATAATAATAGAGGATAGAAGAGAAATAGCGTTCCTTTATCGTCAGCTACTTGCTACGTATATGCGTTTTCTCTATGGTCACGTGGTCTACTTAGTTCAATAATGGGATCGTCTGTTTGCTTAGTGACAATCTATGTTGAAACTGAAATGTCGGCAGTGATACTTTATTCCTATATAATAATTCCCTTAAAGACATGATTATGGAAGACATCTTTTTTTTTTTTTAGCTGCTAATCTCAGAAGAATTGCAATTTCGGTGTCATTTCCTAAAGTGCATGTAATAGTAAAAAATAAATAAATAAATAAATAAAACTATAAAAAAACAGGAAAATTTCATTAGAAACAAAGAAAAGAGGAGCGAATTGTCAATTAATATCAGTTCTCCAATATTCCAGGTTTATGTTTTACAATTCCCTCACAGATTAAAAGATTTAAGGTAACAGAAATGTCGATCTACAGAAGGATACTGAGAATAACATCAAGGCAGTATATAAGCCACAATGAAATATTAAGAAAAATCGAAACAAGAAGGAGAATTATACATAAAATCAGAAAGAGACAGATGGAATTTCTGACACAATTTATGAGGAAAGAAAGTGTGGGAAATTTGATACTCTCAGGGCGAGTTACCTACATAACAAGTCTATGTAAATAGAAGGTACAACAAAAGAGAAAAAAGGTTAGTAAATGGATAAACATTGCTAAGACCTATGATAGATAGAAAGTTGTGGAGAGCCATGATCACCCACGCCCTGAAACGACACGGCACATTGAAGAAAAAGGAGCTAATTTGTATTTAACTAAGCTTAGTTTTCCATTAGGTTAGTAATAAATAACATCATGTGAAGATATTAGTGACTATATGCTGACCTCGGAACTGGCCAAGCGTATGTGCTACTGGAGTTATCTTTCTGATAGTTTAAAACTCATTTCATCCCATGCAAGGCGATAACGTCACTAAGACAGAAGAGGTTACTGGGAGTGAAATACTGTGAGAGAAATAAAACATTATTAAGAAGAGAGGATAATAAAAGAACAGGATCCAAGGAGACAAAAGATGACCATTGATATTTCATTTAAATTTTCGGAAATCAAAATTGATTGGAAAGCAAGAAGCCTGAAGAGAGTTCCACAAGTAAGAAGTGCTAGAGAAGAACCTGTTAAGAAAGAACTTATGCCTACATCTTAGCCAATTCAACTGCTAATCTAGGACTACGCTTAAATTCGTAAATTCGAGATAGCAAAGAAGAAGAAAGCTCATCAAAACAATTGCCATGAAAATATTTATAGAAAACGCATAAGGAAGCAAAGTTACAGCAGCGAGAAAAGTGAAAAGTATCCTTTTGATTTTGTCTGAAATAATCTGAAATAATTCAGATTAATTATCAATGCCTAAAAAAAAAATTAAATTTACTCGTGTTTACGGCAATAATAACCATTTATTCATCCCCTGGGTTAAAATAAGAACTTTTTAATAGCTTCACTATCAATTAATCACGAGATCAAAAAACCAGTTCGTACCCTGAGGCCAAAATGTACGTGGGCACATTTACACGTTCAGTGGTTAATGTTGAAGTGGCCTGACTCCTTCTGTCATGCTTTATCTGTGCAAGTGCAAGATCCGACCAAAGAATGAATACTGCTGTCATATGTAAGTGGGGGGCTACTTAATCCTGACTTTTCAAAACATTTACGCGATCGTGTAGGCCATGGCTTATCACCCACGTTACAGTCTCTTTCCCACGGACGCAACGTCTTAAGCGTATCGCTACTCTATCGCTTTTTCTAGAGTTGCCAACTCCCTAAAATGAAAATGCGTGACATGGTGGACGTAGGGGTTTCTCAGATGTGCCAGGGTCGTGTGAACAATTTGCCAACATGCAATCCGGAACAGTTAGGGACAGTTTCGCAAGCAGGAGTTCCTAGAACTACAGAGCTGAATTAAATCAGTTTCGTATTTTTGAACGATAAAAATTGTAATATAGTAATACCTCATAGAAGCTTACGAAGGCTTATTTTACAAATTCAGCCTTAGCGCTGGAAAACGTTTATTTTTTATTTTATTGTGTATAGGGCAACCGGTCATCGAACGTGCATGATTTTTTATTAAAAAAAAAATTATCTATGTATAGTGCGACCCTCTACTTATTTGTGTAAAAAAAAAATAAAAACTCGCGCTA